TGACAGAAATGTGGAATGAAAGGTTACAAATATTGCCAACAGTTAATTTTTTTTAATAGTACATATAATCTGAAGTCATTTGTGTCAAATCATTTCACCATTTTCGACTGCTGCAAACGGCCAAATTGCAATAAGTCCTTATGTCTGTGATCTATCTTATCACAGGAAAATTTGTAATAGACCTACAATCGCAAGCGTCATGCTTTGACACGCTTCATCACATCATCTTTCTTTCACTCCATGTATTGCTGCCATTATCTGGTTATAGACGTTATCCCCTGAGTTGTACGTGAACCAATCCAGCCGGAGCCGGATATTTGAGCTGTAAACAAACCGGAGCTGAGAAACTGGAGTTTGCACAGCATTAGAATAAATTGATAATTTTGTAATTACCATTCTTTTTAGATGAAAAATTTTATTACAATATAATATGTGGAGTGGTTGCTGGTGCAGTTGCTGCTGCCCTTTGCAATCCTACAGATTTATTGAAAGTAAGTTAGAGTTTTCATTGAGTTATTCAGTATGGGCCCATATAGATTTGTTGGAACACGGGATAACGTTTACTGTATTTTAGTAGCATGCATGTGTATAGACTTTCTTTCGATTGTACAGTATGGTGAAAGGAGAAATGACATAAGTTATAACATACATGTATTGTAGGCAGGTTTTACTAAGCTGATATTTATTTAGGTTCGTATGCAAGCACAAAGTCAAGGTGTGGCACCTTCACAAGGAATCTTTTCATCGTTTGCTGCAATATTTCGAGAGGAAGGCTTCTCTGGGCTTTATAGGGTGAACCAAATTCTTTATATTATACAGTCGTTCTTTCGTTCATCAAATCTTTTTAATTCTTTATTTCCAATGGGATTAATTTTAAATATTTTACTCCATCTGGCTAAATCCCATCGATTTTTCTTGTATGTTTACAAACAATACTAAAGTCATGCAAGGCAGCAGAAATTCAATGCTGGAATTTCAATGTATTATAGATGTTTTGTTGTTCCAGATTTCCACTTTTTCTGGGTTTTTCCGGATTATTAGTCAAATAAAACGTTAAAAAGAAATAAGAAATGGATTCTCCAAATGGCTATTGTATGTAGATATATTTTCCAAGACTCTTAGTCGATTGTAAGATTGTTTCCCGGAATCACCCATGAATAGGCATTGTTGTTGGTGCCTAGTTTTTGTCAGATAACTCTCTATGTAATCATATTCTTGCGCATCTGTTCACCTACACTATTTACTATTGTTTCTGCAAGGGTGTCGTTCCAAATGCACAACGTGCTGCTGTAATTGCTGGTGTTGAATTAGCTATTTATGACTGGTGCAAGAAGAAAATTTTGGACAATGATCTCATGGAAGATAATGTTTATACCCACTTTTTGTGAGTGTACCTGTACGTTATCAAGTTTGGTTTTCGATTCAATTCGCAAAGTGTCCATTTCCAATTTTCCTAGAGCCGGCCACCGAGTATGATTATTGTCTGACAACAGCATTGTTTGTCCCCCCCCGCCAATTTTCCTAGAGCCGGTCACCGACTATGATTATTGTCTGACAGCATTGTTTGTGTGGACATGCTACAGGCAACTACAACTGTATGGTCAATTCACTCAAAGTAATTTACTCTACAGGCAAATATTTCGAAAAGTGCTTCCTATTTTTGCTACCCACGTGAAACATGGCTACGAGTTAAAGTAGCCCTGGGCCTGAATGAGAAACGAGTTCTGTCTTTTTCTGCAGTTGCTAATCAGACATGTTCTCGTTACTAGATCCAGTTTCACTGCAGGTTTCGCAGGAGCTGTTGCTTCAAATCCAATTGATGTTGTCAAGGTAATAGTTTTCAATGATATTTTTAAGAAATTCCAGATCTGGCAAGGTGTTTCAGGTGATGCAGTCTGTTTCAGGTTAATCTTTATATTAGTGTACATTGTTACTAATGAATACACCTATACCACAAAAGTTTCGTAACCTTTATCTATATTTACTATGTGCTAGACAAGATTAATGAATCAACGGAAACTGAAACATAATGAAGGCGGGTCACAGATTTATAAAAGTTCTTTAGATTGTATCCTAACGGTGAGCATAGTATTCTACAGTATATTTTTATGAGGTTGTTTTCAGCTTCACATTCTAAATGCGTGCGCATGCAGTACAATAAATATCGAGGTTCAGATTGGGACAATCAACCAATCAGATGCGTTTCATATATCCGATTAACCAATCAGATGTGTACTAGACCAGTGAGAGGTAGTGATAGTGGAAGTCAAATCTGAACCTTTCTAATATTAATATTACTTCCTGCATTGGATCCCAGGATACGCATATATGTTGTAAAAACAGATTCTTCAGATAACAAAAATTGCAATTGGCTATTTATATGTACCAATGCGTTATCAAGGGTCTAGCTATATGTAGGTTTCCGTTAATACTGTAGTACTTATGCTATACTCTGTGTACAAGTACAATTGAACAATTCCTAGATTTTTGAAATTATTATACTTTCATGCACACGTGTAGCAAGAGCATTTGCGAAAATGATAGACAAAGTGCACTATCTGCAGTGTTCTTGTTGAAATATCAAGTTGCTACCAATACTGTATCTATCCGAACCCAATGTGGTGCTGCATGCTGTATGTGTTTTTCGGGACGGACCTATACAGTTTCCTTTTAATTAATTTTCACTGTTTTTTTTTTCAAGACATTGCGGACAGAAGGATTTTTTGCATTGTATCGTGGCTTTATTCCAAATTTTGTTCGTCTTTGTCCGTGGAATATTGTCGTATCCTTTTAACTAGAAATCAAGTATTTTTCAGATAAATATCGTATCTCGATATTTATTTCACAATCTTTATTTTCACACTAGAAGGTGACTAATGTGCCAATTCACTATTTTAGCCTAAATTTTCAAAAATCATTCTTTTTTGAAAAAATTGTATATAGGCCCAAAATTTGATGTATATAGGCCCATGCATGCATTGCAATTTGCATTAATCATAACAATGAGTAACTGTATATGGCATGGGGGCTAGTAAAAAACAATGGCATCTATCACTGGAGCGTGACTCGATCGCACTATTATTATACTAAGCGTTATATGCAATGGGTCATAACATGCACTATCTATAAACTGTTTGAATATTTTGACAAATAATATTATAACTACGCTGCACTGCATGTGTCCGGTGAGATACAATATAATCGGATGGCATGAAAAGAGAGCCTTTGAAAAAGTCATCACGGTGATTCATTGGAATATATAGTACATATTATATTATAGTATGGGAACCTAAGGCTAATTTATCCGATGAGTGCATGCCGCATCTTGTGGTACGAAACTAAATAGTAATAAAGATGACTAGTGGAATTTATTGAGCCGTATATATATATTCTGCGATTCCGGTGCGGCGCTCTAACCAACTGAGCTAAATAAGCCAATTGTCGAGCTCTCACCACAAGTTCATATATATATATATATATATATATATATATATATATATATATATATATATATATATATATATATATATATATATATATATATATATATATATATATATATATATATATATATATATATATATACATATAAATATACATATAAATTCAAATGACTACTCTGTTATTTTCTTAACCAGTTTTCAGTTCTTTATGTCATTCGAACAATACAGGAAATTTGGTGATAGAGTTTTGTGATTGATGCTAAATTAATTTATAGGAACATTTATTTTTAATTATTTTTTGAACAAATAAAATGAAAAAATTATATCTTCGTAACGCCTTCACAATGACCAGGTAGATCATAACTTTATTCAATTAATTTAGAGCCGTTTTACGTGATATGCGACCACCTCACTAATAGCAATAGTTGTTTTTGACATTTAGGCGCCGTCATGTAATTTGTTCTGATATTGATTTAGTGACCGCACTTAAATGTCAAAAACAACTATCCAGGTGATCTCGTGTTCGTATTTTAGCCAATCAGCGCTCAGAAAGGGTTGTTCGAATAGAAATCCATTTTGATGTATTCAGTCAATTATATCTTTCGTTATTCTTTATGAAACTAGTTGAAATTTGGTAATTATGTTTGGTTATGAGAACTATAGCTCTGACAAAAATATGGAATCGAAATAAAGTATATCACAGGAGATATTCAGTTGTTTTAATCACAAAATGGATTTCTATTTGACAACTAGTGCCAGTACTTTTCCGCGTATCAAGATCACCTGGATTGCTATCAACCTTTTTGTGTGAAGTGGTCACGTATCACATAAAACTCTTCGAAATTTGGCATTATTCCTGTCGATAGTCTCGATTGTCTTTTGAAGTTGTAGCTCCATATTTATAGATCGCGAAAAAAGGAACGTTCTCTAAAGCCCGTTCTCCACTACGCGAATTTGTTCGCGCGACGCGATGCGAAAACCGAAATCCGGCAACGTGATTGGTCGGCGAAAAAATTCGCGGCGAAAAAGTAGGATCGCTTCCTACTTTTTATCTGTTCGCGCGAATAAATTCGCCTAGTGGAGAACGGGCTTTCCACTTCAACCGTAACGTATCGTACCATCGTCTTTTATGTCGAAGTCGTTAGTTCCACTCTAGTGCTCAGGAAACAAAGAAATACGCTTCGGTACGATACGATTGAAATGGAAAACGGCCTTTATATATAGGTTCAACGGTGACAACCAGTTGAGACCCAGTGCTATTTTAAAACGTATGTTGTTGCTTGTGTGTAATCCCCTCACTCCAGTCCAATGTTGACAGTATATTTCACAATCGCATATCCCAAACAACACTGAATTTGGAAGGGGGGAGGGGGTGTGAGGGGAACGGAATTGCACAGCACATGAAAGTGACATTTGATCGCTGCATATATTTTATGCCGAAGTTTGCAGTTTCTTTATAATAGTGAGAATCTCATATGTAGTGAGAATCTCATTTGTTGTGAGAATCTCATGTAAATTTATACAATACATAAATGCTGCGTATTAATTTGTATTAGTTTATTCTATCTTGTTCTGTGTAATATTCAATGTTTCACAGAGTTCATTAAAATGTTTTTCGAAATTCGCCACAATCTCCTTAGGCTCAGATACAATCGCCTCATCAGCCATCACTCCGATATTAATATGACCATTGTAACTAAATATTGACATCATGATTGCAATGTTAGCTCTCGCAGGTGGCCAGAATACCCCGCCTAGTGCCTCATTACCGCCAATGGTAAGGGTTAACTGAGGGCCGGGAACGTTCGATAGAACACAGGACATCTTAAACGAGAAAAGATCAAGAATTGGCTTGGAAATAAAATGTGGCAGCAACATAAGTAGGCGGACTGTGCTTGCAGCAACAAACGGTTCTGCAGACATCTTTATGTCATCCATACGTTGCTTGGTTTCGAACAACTGTTCCACATTACCTTCTACCCCAACAGGCGCGCGGAGAAAAACCAAAGCAAATTTGTTCGTAAACTTCATTGACTTTCTATCCGCTCTGACATCAACAGGAACCGCAGCCCAGATGTCTTGTGGTTGTTGTTCGGAATGATGTTGTAGATAGCATCTCAGTGCTCCAGACAGACATGACGTCATCACATCATTCACTGTGGTTTTTGTCTGATTTTTTATTTCTTTAACCGTTGCAAGAGAAAAGTTCTTTGACCACGCCACGATTTTCTTACCGTTCAATGTCCCTCCGTGGATTTCTGAGTGATCTGCCGGTGATAAGCATTTTGTTAGCACAGTCATCGGTCCGACTAATGCTGCCTTACACCACGTAAGTAACTGTTGCTTTGTCGAGAATCTGATTGGCTCGTAGTCTCTGACCGGAACATCAAAGAGGTTGTTCACAAATAACCGAGTCAGCGCAATCCCGTCTGCGTAGCTATGATGTATTCGAAACACGAAACAGTGCGAGTTATCCAGGTCTGGAGTTGGGATCAAAATAAATTCCCAAAGTGGTTTGTCATAGGGCAACGGCTGCGAGCATATCTCCGAAACAATCGCTTGCAGTTGTGATGTTGTTGTGGGTAGTCTTCCTTGCCATAATCTCACATGTTGTTCAATATTAAAATTTGCATCCTCTAGCCAAACATATTGTCCGTACATTGTCTCAATACGGCACGTCAAACGCGGGCATAGCTTCTCGCCATTCTCTCGCTTGAAGTTGACTAATCGTTCTGCAACGAGCTCTCGGAGTTTCTCGACCGTTGACTGTCCTGCTAAGAAGACAACAGCGCTGACAATATGGAGGTTAGTTGCTCGATCTTGTTGCCAAACGACATCATCGGCAGGAAGAGGAATTGCACCTTTTAGACGGATTAGTAAATATATGGATCCATTGCAAGCAAGCAAAAGTAAAATAACGGGTAGTAGAACAGGTAGTAGCATCAGACTCGCTACGAATGTGAATACACAAGCTACCCAATATAACTTGTTCAATCCGCTGTTTCGTACACGTCGGCTTCCCATTTCATCAAATTTAGGCTTGGACCTTTCTTACATGAAGAATATTCTGTGTCTAAAATACACCTGGACCTTTACTTTGGCGTATTAGCGTTGCTCTTGCTACGATTGATGCCACACATTGATTGATTGACTGGCAGGAAATACTCTCCGTATATAAATATGCAATAATAAAATATTTAACACATGCAGATAATAATTTCAGTTATACTCGACCACAATCAACCGCAGGAGAAAATACTTTACATCTGCAACGGAGATTGTTGAATATTAAGATTTTGATTTATTCAAAAATGCCGACGCTTTCCCAAGCAATTTTTCCTCATATCTGATTGGCTGAAATTATTTACAACCACGCGCGCGCATGACTATCGTAAAATGCATATTAGTTTTAAACGCCGTTTTCCACTAGGCGGAATTTTCCGCGTGGAGCGGAATTTCTCTTTGTCTTTTCTAATTATAGTTCCACCCGAGAAAAGCCGGTTTTCCACTAGGCGGAATTTTGCCCGCGGAGCGGAATTTTTCTTTCTCTTTTCTAATTAGTTCCTCCCGAGAAATCACAAGACAAAGAAAAATCACAAGACAAAGAAAAACCGGCTAAAGGCAAAGAAAAATTCCGCCTAGTGGAAAACGGCCTTAATTCTAGAACGTATGCATTGTTAGGAAACTTCAAAACATTTCTTTGTTCTAAGTTATTGTGTACCTTGTATAGGGTCACGGTTGGTAATTATTTTGTGTTGCTATTGTTTAGTTTTATATGCATCTTCTACAGGGTGTCCCAAAAAAAACGAAAACTATTGAAATCACCAATAACAATTTAATTGTTAGAATTTGAATGCCTTAGCACTCTGTTGGTTCCCACGAGTGCATAAATGATTGACATAAGTAAATTTTATGCATAAAGAAACTATTTAAGAAGCTGCTTTAAATTCCCAAAAGCAGAAAATCGCGCACTTTACAAGGAGATGTTCTTAACTAAATTTTAATACATGCACCTTGTCAATATTTTACGCATCATTACATTCAGCTTTTTGGTAGGGCATTCAATTTTAACAATAAGTTATTTCAATAGTTTTCGTTTTTTTTGGGACACCCTGAATGCGTAGGGCATGCATGCATGGGCATGGCCATGAAGTGTTTGTTTTGGCCCCTGATGCAGATGTTAGTTATAGGCATTTACAACGAATTATTGTGATATTTTTATATAAGAAGGGTGTTGTTGGTGGAAATTATCGAGTGGAAATTTATATTACATTTTGTTAGACCTAACCAGGAACAGCTGCGAAAAATGCATTAACTTATAAATATATATATATATATATATATATATAGATTAATCACTAGGCGAAAAGCCATAAAGGTATATAAATTAATCAACTCAACACATAACGTAACGTTTCGACTTTATTGTCTTCATCAAATATAATCCTACTTTACAGGCAGTGCCGTAGCTAGCATTTATAGTTGGGGGGGTGTAGGCCAAACATTTCCGAATGACGAAGAAAATTTCCGAATATTAGAAAATTCTTGGCGACCTCCCCCCCCCCGTCGCCAAAAAAATTTCGGTCAGTGTACCATTTTAAGGGTCAAAAAATTTTTCCGGACATATCAAAACTCATATATTAGCCAAAAATTGCCTGAATCTCATGCTTTTCGTATAAAAACCATATACTATTATTGCCGTAATTTTCCGAATGGCCATCCCATTTTCCGAATATGTCAAAGTTGGGGGGGGTAACCACCCCCCCAATACCCCCCCTCGCTACGGCCCTGTTTACAGGCGAACCCAATTTATACCCTCCCAATTTTGCTAATTATGCATATAATATGAATATAAGTGATTTACCATACAAATAACAATATCCTGTTAACTATAATTAACATTGCTACGCATTCTCTATGTTCAATCCCGAAGGATGCATTGTCTTTAGTTTGCTTATCCAAAATGCCTCACGTCTGGTCGGTTCCGCTGGGTCAGTTTTATCAATTAAAACAATCTCGCAATCACTAATCAATCCATTGTGTCCATTACCCAAGAAATGTTGATGGAAAAACATTTGTGACTGACTAAAATGGCGGAGTTTGTTTTAAAAACCAACTATTTCGAGTTTGACGGTGATATTTATTGTCAAAATTCCGGTACGGCTATGGGAACTAAATTCGCTCCACCATATGCATGTATTTTCATGGATATGGTTGAGACTGAATTTTTAAAGCAACAGAGTGTGAAGCCTTGGATTTGGTTACGCTACATAGTTGACGTATTTTTTGTCTGGTTAGAAGGAGAGGACAAACTCCTGCAATTTATGTCGAGACTCAATGAATTTCATCCTAATCTCAAATTTACATACGAGTATTCGCATAATAGAGTAAATTTTCTTGATGTCGTAGTTGAAAATGCTGGTGGTAATTTCATTACAAGTTTGTTTTGTAAACCTACTGATTGCCACCAGTATCTTCATTATGATTCATCACACCCTGCACATGTTAAAAGGTCTATAGTATATAGTCAGGGTCTACGCATCAAGAAGATTTGCTCAAGAGAGGAAGACGCTGATAAACATTTGCAGGAATTGTCGGGTTGGCTGCAAAATAGAGCCTACCCAATGTGGCTTATTAGGAAAGAATTTGAGAGGTTGCAATCTTGTGATAAAGCATCTAACAAAAAAAGAAAAATAGGAGTACCTTTGACAATTACGTTTCATCCTCTGTTAAAGGACTTTGGTCTTATAATCCGTAAATATATACATCTATTATACTTAGATCCAGAAGCTCAGAAAGTGTTTTCGCCCGGACCATTTGTGGCATTTAAAACTGGCCGCAACTTAAAAAGTTATTTAGTTAGGGCTAAAGTACCGCCGTTAGTGAGGGAAAAGGGGTGTAAGAAATGTAAGAAAGCACGATGTTTAACGTGCAATAATATTCGAGAAACCGACAGCTTTGAGTGTTCAACAGATGGTAAACAGTACAAAGTGAACCATAGGTTGAATTGCGACTCGAAATGTACTACTCGCTGGTTTATCTTCTTACTTGTAAAGTCTGTAAAAAACAATATGTTGGCCAAACAACAGATAAATTTAGGTACCGTTGGAATAATTATAAAGCCTGCCACAAAAAGGCAGTTAATAACGAGGCCTATACACAAATGTTTTTCCATCAACATTTCTTGGGTAATGGACACAATGGATTGATTAGTGATTGCGAGATTGTTTTAATTGATAAAACTGACCCAGCGGAACCGACCAGACGTGAGGCATTTTGGATAAGCAAACTAAAGACAATGCATCCTTCGGGATTGAACATAGAGAATGCGTAGCAATGTTAATTATATAGTTAACAGGATATTGTTATTTGTATGGTAAATCACTTATATTCATATTATGCATAATTAGCAAAATTGGGAGGGTATAAATTGGGTTCGCCTGTAAAGTAGGATTATATTTGATGAAGACAATAAAGTCGAAACGTTACGTTATGTGTTGAGTTGATTAATTTATATATATATATATATATACCTGCGTACATTACACCAACACAGGAACAATCATAATTACTAGATTACATTGATATCGAAGGAACTAGATTCTGTTCCGAAATATCACATACTCGAACCGACCTGACCGCGTAGCTCAGTTGGCAGCAGAGCATTGCCATTGGGCTAGTATTCCAAAGGTCGTAGGTTCGATTCCTACCGTGGATAGGCATATTTTTCAAGCTTGCCCGGTGTGGATATACACTCAGAGTAACACCATGCACAAGCATCAAGGAGGAAAATATTTCCAAATCCGGTATTATACACCTTGGCATCTCAAAAGCATTGGATAAAATACAAAGAACTATGAAAAAAAGTTAACTCAGAATTGAGTAAGGCCAAAAGAAACTTCCGTAATAAAATAGAGGATTGTGCGCAGTCCAAAGATATTGAAACAAAGTTGGAACCTAATTCAGTAATAATCTCTTGGACAAGAACGTGAAATCAAACAATATTTCCCAACTTTAAAATAAACATTTTGTTATATCAGATGATAACTCGAAAGCTGAGGCTTTTAATGATTTCTTTGTTAATATCGGGGCAAAACTTGCAGCCGAAATTGAAAACGACTGTCGACTAAGGGAATACAAGCTTATCTGATGGAGAAGATTTTCGTTCTGGCATTGATTCTAATCTAGCCTTTAAATTTTCCGAAATTAATGAGGATGAAGTAATTTGCTAACTACGCAATCTTAAAATTTCAAAATCTACAGCAATATTGATAACATTCCAGCAAAAGCCCTCAGAATATCCGCGGACACCCTTTCGATAAAAAAGGAGAGTATATAGGCAAATGGAAAAAAGCCTGGGTACTACCAATTTACAAATCTGACGATAGGCAAAAATTACCGCCCAATCTCAATACTACCAATTGTTAGTAAAATACTAGAGAGATTTGTTTTTAATCAAATTTACAAATTTCTTATTCAGATGTGATACATTTTATGAAAACATGGATAATGGCCAGTTGAACGGTGCTGTTTTCCATTACATTCGCAAAGCCTTTGATTCAATCATATTCTATTGCATATAAGGCCAAGTAAAAAAAATAGTTTCTCGTCCCCGCCCGCATCCTTTTTCCCTGCCGCATGGATTTTTCTTTTTTTTAATGTTTTATATTTGAACGTTTCAAAGAATTTCCACTTAGTATATTTCGGCCATTTTGCTCCTTTCGGCATAATTCGGAAATTTTCGTTAACTTTCGCTTGCTGTTCGCGCCATATTGTTATTTTGGCGCCATATTGTTATTTTGGCGCCATATTGCATTAGTAGCGGTTTGTTTATTTTAATATATTTACGTTTTATGAGTAAACTTCAATATTTGCATGTGTTTATAGGTTATTTGGTAAACTTTAAGAGCAATATTTGAAGGTTTAACAAAAAAATAGCGCCAGCATTCTCCTTTTTTTTCAAAATTCGGACGAGAAACTACTATTTTTTTTACTTGGCCTATAAGTTGAAGACCAGTTTGTAATTAAAAATATTGAACTGGGTTGGTTTGAGTCTTATCTAACAAATAGGGAACGAGTGTTGTTAACGACACACGTCATCGTCAAAAAGGATTGTTTGCGGTGTTCCACAAGGATCAATTTTAGGCCCATTGTTGTTTTCCCTCTATATCAATCTCGTTCCCAGGGTCTTGAAGACCCTAGGTACGAGGTTGCCCGAATACGTTCATAAAACTACGCCTTATCTATAAGCAGACGATGCCCAAATTTCTTGTACCGCTAATAACTTGACTGAATTAACTGAAAATCGAAATCATGATTTGAACAGAATTGGTGAATGGCTTTTTAGAAATAAATTGCAACACCATCCAACTAAGACCAAACCAATGTACATAGGGTCAAAACATCACATGAATTCCATGACCTGTGATCTTCCAGTAATGTTAAATAACCAACATATACCTCGAGCTCACTCATTCATGTCTTGGTGTTGAGCTCGACGAAAATCGTAACTGGAATGAACATATTCAAACGATTTGTAAAAACGTTGGGGATGGTATAGACTATAGGAACTATGAAACGTATTAAACCATATGTTCCTACAAGCATGCACCCTTCAAACAATTTATCGAGCACTGATACAGCCCTATTTTGATTACTATTCTCCCTTATGGGGCGTCTGTGTTAAACATCTGAAAGATAAACTCCAAAAGTCGTGTAGCCCGAATTATAGCTGGCGCCAGCTACGAGACCCAATCTGCTGATGTTCTTCGATCTCTTGCTTGGGATAATTTAGAGACAAGGCGATGTACAACTAAATCAATACTATTTTTTCTGTGTTGGTGTTGTGTACTCAGGTGAATATGTTTGTGATGTTACTCTGAGTGTATATCGGGCGAGCTCGAAAAATATGCCCGGCCACGGTGGGAATCGAACATACGACCTTTGTAATACTAGCCCAATGCTTTGGCAACTGAGCTACGCGGTTAGGCCAGTTCGAGTGATATTTCGGAACAGAATCTAGTTCCTTCGATACCAATGTAATCTAGTAATATGATTTTTTCTGTGTTGGTGTTGTGTACTCAGGTGAATATGTTTGTGATGTTACTCTGAGTGTATATCCACACCGGGCGAGCTCGAAAAATATGCCCGGCCACGGTGGGAATCGAACATACGACCTTTGGAATACTATTGCACAAAGTCTTCACTGATTTTAATTAGCCCTTGGAAGCCTAGAAGTGAATTCCTCAAAAAGAGCTTCAAGTATAGTAGGGCTAAACTCGACAATGCCACGTGTCGACAATGCCACGACAAGAGGCGTCTATCTACCCGTGAAACATCTAGTGAGTATTGGTGACAGTTCATCTGATGACGGGACGAATACCCTTCAGTTTCACAAGTGCCATCAACAGACAACACTACCGACTCGACGGGGCGTTTGCTGGCTGAATGGTATAATCACCGCTTCACAATAATAGCAAGCCGGATGTGCTGGTGCGTAATGCATAAGGCTATGTTGTCCGTCTCCATTGGCCTGTGTATTACCACCCAGATTATCCGGCTGTAGCTCTGCTTTCGATGCGTTGTTGTCGACCTGCATTTTATTGTTCTGCATCTGGTAAATCGTTCAATTCCCATACCCTCAACCAGAGAGTCGCAACCTTACCAAATGACTTACCAAATGCCACAACCTTACCAAATTCCGATACCTTGGGATTACAACTATCATGCATGTGTTCCCAACTTGTATAGATCCCGCGTGTATGGCAAATTGGTCACATATTTAGGGATTGTTATGTATTTTACACTTTCCATACTTTCCATACTTACTTATTTCCATACACATGTCCATACTTAATAAATTAAGTTTCAAAATTTAACACAACTATTTTTACAACTTAGGCTATACTGACCTCATGTTTCGCGCACGAATATATTTCTCTTTGATCTTAACCCAAATCACAACCATATCCCTTACCTATTGTGCGCGAAACATGTTATAACACGAAATCCTACCAGAGACTATCGGGATGTTTACACGAGTTCTACATAAAGGGCCAGCCCAACCAGGACTGGTTTTCACCTGGTGCTTACATGAGAAAATTCAACAAATTTATTTTCTTACGAAGTCCATAATCATTTTAGCGAGCAAATTTTCGAATAATAACCAACAATTGAATATTGTTCTAGAGCTATAAATCTGAATCGAAATAGACTTAGAGAAGCCAAGTTTGGCACGTATATGGCCAGCTTTTTACTCAGCCCCCACTGGTATAGGACAAGCCCTCTCTGACTCTGTTGCGTTTATATGGTAAATTTCCTCAGGCAAGATCTCAAGCTGGCCCTCCCCTTAGTATATGCGGAATATCGCGTATAAGTGCCAGCGCTTTGTGTAGGATTCATATAAACACCCTCTAGGAATAATAACTTTATCGTATCATTAATTCAGCATGGAGAAAAGCCAGGTACACACTTGATTGAATTATTAAAGCGATCTGTATGTGATTTACAAACATGAGCCGAAGGCGAGTGGTTGTTAATCGCATGTAGATCGGACGTGAATGCCCTAGCTATCGTACTTATCAAATACATACATATAAGGTTCATGTTTATTGTTGCCATTGTTAATGTTCTTGATACAAATAATGCAATATTGCACTTGTATATAATTTAAACTCAACACTTTAGGAGCCCAAAATCCGTGTTACTTGGCATGTAGAACTTGTTATATCCTAAATTATAGAGTATTTTTTGAAAAGTCACCCTATATCGTTGTAAATAGGTTGATGACGAAAGCACGAAATTCACTCAGATAGACTATTAGGCTCCAGACTATACAGCTGTTCGTTCTGCATGCATAACGCATCTTTAAAAATTTATTTTTGGACCAATAAAAATGGCCGATTATTTTCTAGGACCAACAAAAGCTACAGAAATTTATTTTCTGTAAACTATGCACTTTGCGATCAACAAACACCAATTTATACTTTAGGATCGTGGAGCTGGCAGATTACTAGTCTTCTTGATTTCGGAATCCTCTTCCTTTTTACTGGTTATTATTTCAGGTACCGTTGTACCTTTAGTCAACTTAATCTCGCACACACCAGTCTGAATATCATATGTTAGGTCAACAAGAAAATCGTCTTCCTCCTCGAACTTCTGTACCATTTCCTCCGTTACATCAATAAAACGCCTGAAAAATATGAATGTAATTTAGATATAGATATAGATCAGAAAACCTAGAATTTCGCGCAGGAGAAAAGACCACTCAACCACAAAACCTAGAATTTCGCGCAGGAGAAAAGACCAGGCACTCAACCACAAAACCTAGAATTTCGCGCAGGAGAAAAGACCAGGCACTCAACCACAAAACCTAGAATTTCGCGCAGGAGAAAAGACCACTCAACAACCACATTACATAAAACAAATAAAAATCCCAAAGAAATGGACATAAAATTCAAAATACAAGTCAAATCAGAGCAGTCCAGAAAATTGGCTATTGAAAATTATAATATAAGGTTTCTAGTGTTCACCATAGCAAACATTAGAGAATCACACTTATATTGTCGAGGTGGACAACCTTAAAACATTGGCAATAGGCTTCCCTCATATGAATAGTCTGCCAATTTGACATCTTATGTTCAATGAAATGACCTCTATTACAATTTCATAGAAACTGGTACTCAAAACCACAGTTATAAGGGCCAAATTATAATGAACATAAAAGAATGGCCTGATTTATACTAGAGACGGACGATCTGTCTGGATGAACTTGAGCAAATAAAGACAGTTTGAGTACAAACGCGGCAAACAGACAGATCATCCGTCAAACGGATAATGCGTCTCTAGTATAAATCAGGCCAATATCGAATAACGGTAGTTTTATATGAAGAAAGTCTATTAAATACTCCATTTAGCGCAAAATTGCAATCGCACAAATTAACAGTGCAATAATTAACAATTATTCGCCGAAGGCGAGGTGATCATCGTGAATAAAAACCGAGACGAAGTCGAGGTTTTTATTCACGATAATCACCGAGCCTGAGGTGAATAATTGTTTTAGTATAATTTCATAGGTGATTATTTGGAAGAAGAAAAAATACACATTTCTTCATCATTTAATTGACAAAACGGCTTCGGTCGCCATTTCGAAAATCGCTTAGGTGATTATCGCGTTATAATCACCTCAACGGCAACCAATCAGCGTGCATGGAGAATTTTCAATAATCACCTATGTAATTATACTAATTATTCATATCCCAATGTACTGACTACAGTCTTGTTCTAACTTGTAAGTCGAGTTTTAAGTTATTTTCTTTGCAATTTCTTTGTTTTAATGTCGAGTAAATTAGATGTATAAACAATGTCAGAAGAATAAGTCACATCAAAAACGTAATTTTGTCCATTGGAGATTCTTGAACTCATGGACATGACAAGTTGAAGTAACACGCTCTTCAATATTAAGCATATTACACAAAGGGCGGTACGAAGTTGAAAGGCAACAGTGTAAGTGAACAAATACAACACCGTCAAGCGCTGCGATGGGGGAGCTGTACAAACCCAGGATTTCCATAGCTTATGCCAAAACAACAATTAAGGAATCCTGCATGTTACATAATTAAAGATTAACTTTTGTACGGCGGGAAAAGCTGCATGTCTGCAATTACAGACCAAAATGAAACCATCAGCTATTGAACATTAA